GGAAGTTTTAAATGTTACCAGTGTTAGGTCATAAAAAGAACCCCTTACAAACATAGCTTATCATTTTAAGTCTATAATTAAGTTTCATGATATTAAATCTATAATATTCAATAAAATTATAGGAGTCAGGTAGGGGAGGAGGTTTGGGGGTGGGGGGAGGGAGAGGGAGAAGGGACTTGAAATAAGCTTGTTCCCTAACTAGAACTAATAAAAAAAAGAACCCCTTAATTTTTGGCATAGAGAACAAAATGTATGTCTCCTACAAATAAGTATCAAACCACTGAAATGAACTTGCCATCTTTTCCCATGTGAAATTAAGTAATCCAATGAACATTTAGTAGCTGCCTACAGTGCGTGGGATGCTCCGATGGAGGCCTTAGAGGCCACAGAAGTTCCTAAGACCCTTGTTTCTTCACCAAGGGCAGGGAACCCAGTGAATTTAATACACTACTAATGCTCACTTGAAAGTAAGGTAGCATTAGAGAAAACTTGGGAGAACGGGTAAAAAAATAGAGTTCCTGCTAAAGAAAACAACAGCAGCAAAGGTAGAGAGGTGTATGAGCTGTACAGAGGACTATGCTCCAATAACCAAACTCATGCAATAAGTATATGCAATAAAGACTGGCTTCATTCATAAAGATGTGGTGCAGTGAGGTAGGAAGGATGCTGGCTTCCTTCGTCTTCCTCCATCCCATACCAGTAATTCCAATGGACTCATGAATTAAAGAGACTAAGTTAGATTCTATAGGTACAATTTATAAATACCAAAGGCTTCCAAATAACTAGTTAACTCTATTCAGATTTTCCCTCTGTGTATCAAAAACTCAGAAGTTGACAGTGATAATAATAAAGATGTCTGTTCTTCTAGCTCATTAGTCTATAGGTCAGCTGTAGTTCTCTAACACTGACTGGATTTTCCTGGGCTCCAAATTTAATTCCAAGATTTGGGTTAAATTTAACTTTATAAGTGTTTGTTCGTCTCCTAGTCCTAACAAGTTATACAAGTACTCAGCAGATATTAGTCTTGCAGGGAAAATGTAAGAATAAATGTATATACATATAGCACAGGAAGAGCACAAAAGAATGAGTGGAACAGGGGAAACAGAGAGACAGCTAAGCAACCATGCCATAGGCCAGCATCAATGGAACTGGGAAGTACATCCAGCCATGGTGTAGCTCAGTGTGGTTCCCCTGGCATAGGGCACAGAAGTGTGATTCTAATACAGGAAGATAGCCAAGAACTTGAAACAATAATTCTGTGTCCTTGAGTTATTGTATTAGATAAATGTCTAAAAACAGAGCTGTGAACTGAAAGGTAGAGAAGAAAAGATTTTAGCAGAAGTAAAAACCCTGTCTACAAGATGTGAGACAGAAGGAGTACAGGGGAGGAAGAGAGGGAGGACAAGAGAGTTTTAATTTCAAGAGAAAAGATAACCAGCCAAGGGCAAAAGCATTTGCAACTTCAGTCTGTATGTGAATGCTGTCTAAAGCAATGGAGCAAGAAGAGAACTAAGTCTTTGGATAGCTGTTAATCCAAATCACCATGCTAGGCAATTTACACACTATATCACAAAAGATCACAATACTTGGGGGTCAGTATTCTAGAAAATTTTATATGAGCCTCAAATAGCTATATAACTTGCCAATTATAGCCCAACAAACCAGTAGCATTTCTGGGTCTATCAGATCCTAAAGTCTTCTTTGGCAAAAAGGAGGCTAAGTTGAAAGCCATCTTGCTAATCAAATCAGTAGGTAGTGTCAGCCTCATGAGTTACGTTGAGAGTTCCCTAAGCTTCTACTTCGGCAAAGGAGAGATGTCTCCTCACTAGCTGAGGGTAGGAACTTTGTTCTCAACTGAAGACCTAAAATATTTATTTTAAATATGTGCTTTATAATTCATGAAGATTTCAGGCCTTGAAAAACAACTCTAGAAATAAGACAAGAGCATTGCAGGCATGGAAAATCATATAAGCAAAGTATTAATAGTGCCTTGGGCAATTCATGTTTTGGTAGTGGCTAGCAAACCCATACTATTGACATGTGCATCACTAGTGTATATAGCAGGAGAGTGAGAGACTGGGTTAATTTCACTTGGCTTTGGATGCTGCAACAGGACATTTAGACTTTTCTCCAAAGGGAATCATTGTAGATTCTGGTCCAAGGGTAGACTTATGAGCCTAGCTAAGGTAGTACTAAATGTTAGCCGAACCAAAGATGGGAGGTCAAATGGAAGGCTTCTGCATTCATTTGAATAAGTGCTAATGAGAACTTAAGCTGGGTAGTGGCAGTAGAAGCAAAATTAAAGGAACAGATGGGACAACTTCTTTGGAAGAAGTTACTGTGCAGCACAGGAACCACTCTGCATATAATTAAATGCATGCCAGGTTCGTTTTGCAACCTTATTTGACTCTAAAGGTTTCCTCTCGTCAGGTATGCAGAACCTTCATAGTTTGTTGGTCATCTGTTCACAAACTTTTTTTAAATTTAGGATTACAATTGCTGTGGGGGAGGGATTCTAACTGATTTGTTCTTTGCTGTGTTCCACTGCATCCAACTGAATAAGTGCTGAGTGTTTATTGAATAAGCAAACATACAGATGCTGCCCTACACATGCACACATACTCATTTCCAGAGTAACTGCACCTTTGCATTCTGCCCACCCATCTGTCACCCTACCAAAGTTCCTACCAATCATTCTTGCCTCTTCAGGGTGGGTTTTGCTTTGTGGGAGGAACCAGATTACTGAGCAATCTAGATGCAGTGAGATTTAGTGTAATGTGTTTCCCAGTTACTGACTTCAGTCAAGTTCAGTTGATTCTCTTTGCTACTTCTTAGTGGGAATTTAGATATGTCCAATAATGTTCTCATTGTGTAAAACAGTCAAAATTCGCTTCTCACTCATTTTAAACCTCCAGTTTTATTTTTATCCCTTACACATACAACACACACACAGCACACATCCTAACTTCAGTTTTCTTCCGAGAGACTGACCCCCCCCCTTTTCTGCTTCTCGGTTGTTTGGCACTGGGATAAACAGAAAAGTATTACAGAAGAGGTGAATCCCTTAGTCCAGTTGGGTTTGCTTTGCAGTTGTCTGGAGGGGACCCCTGATTCCTCAGCTGTCGGTGACCATTGAGTAATCTAAGTGTGACAGGTGGTCGGTGAGTGACCTTTTCCAGGTTGAGTAGAGTGTTTGGGAGCAACCTCTCACACAGCCCTCTGGGAAAGAACAACCAGGTCTTTCTAAAACATTATCAAGGATCCTTAAGCCTGCCCACAGTAGCTGGGTTGGTCTGCTTCTTGGGTGGACCAACAACAGGATGTCTGCTAGGTTATTATTTTCAACTCCAATATTCTTCTGTCCTCCTTTTTGCCATTCTCCATTATCCCATAAGAGAAGTTTCCTATGTCTGGGATTAAGTGTTTAGGTTTTCACCCACTTGCTTACAAGCCAGGGAAAATGCACCTGGCCCCTGTAGTTGGTAATCAACCAAACAGGAAAGTGCCCAGTACATCCGAGCCTCCACTTTGGGTCCTATTCTCCGGGTTTATACACAACACTCAGTTATTTGTACACACCACTAAGCTTCATTATGCACTCTGACTCACCATTCATCACCACCACATAATAAATACTGAGTAAGTGCCACGTGAACAGGCATTTGGTGAATAGCTAAAATCAGGTCAATCAATAGAAAAGCAAAATATAAACATCTACCACAACTGAGACGCTGGGGCCAATAATGAACTGCGATGTAACTTTGAAATGGTGGGTATTGAAACCTGGTTCTGTACATTAGATTGAGGAATGGAACAGCAGGAGGGAGAGAAGAGGAAAGGCAACTTAAAATGAGAAGGCAAGGAGCAGCTCCATGGAGGACTCTGCATGGCAACAGAAAGCTCATGATGCTGAGATTAAAATCTGAATGCTGGCTGCCTAAACTAATCTTTTCCTCTGCTCATAAACCAGAATCTTATAGATTTCCATTAATATTTAATCTCCTTAAACTTGATGGAAGAGGAAAGCCCGTTCTGCAGCATGCCCGCTTCGTTGCTCCCAGCAGGCGCTTTAGTGAAGGCTGATGAGGGGGCAGCCCTCCCGAGGAACTCCAGTACCAAACCCTGCACTGGCAGGCAGGCAGGCAGCCTAAGTTTCAGAAGTGAGTCACATCAAATACAAGAACCATGAATTCAGCTCAGATTTCAAATAAAGAATAAAGGACTTAGAGGAATCTATATAAATTTTTCAACCCAGAAGTTCTTCCTGCTTAAATTATTTTCACATTCCAATTTAAACTCAGAAACATTATGTTGCTGTCACACTTCTTTGTTCCCCTGAAGTATTAAAAAAAAATCTGTATATAGCTGACAAAAAATAGAAGCCTGTCTGCCAGCAAGTTCCCTACTCATGTCTAACATACTGTAGAGCTGAGGCAGAACACATGGTCTTAAAACACTCAAGGCCTCTTTTTAACTGGCTTGCCACAGCAGTGTGTTTCTCCAGCCTGTGTGCACTACCTACAATACATGTCTTGCATAAGCATGAATCCCATTGGAACATTTAAGTCATGTAGTATTTTCACACACTTTGATGTTGGGCATATGAGAATTACCATCTCTATTTTGAAAATGCAGTCCCTCCCTCCCTCCCGCCAACCCCATCAAACACTGGTAACTCAACTGACATCACTTGAAATTCCATTCCAAAAGAAAACCAATAAAGTCCCTAACAGAAGTTTGACATATTTCATCATCTCAAACACAGAGTTAATTTAGCAGCTAAATTGGAAATTTCTGGGTGTATTTTTGAAAACTAATTCAGCGTGAAAATTACTAATGATTTAGAATTGTTCATAAGCATTTTCCTTTTCCTTACTTCTCTATCCAGAAATATCTGATGCTTTATTTCAGATTAATTTGCAAGTGGCAAGATGCTTCCTGCTGTTTGAACAGAAGGAAACTGCTTTAAATCATTTCTAATGTACTGTTTTTAATTACAGATGAGACCCATTGGTCATGATGGCTACCATCCCACCTCTGTAGCTGAGTGGCTGGATTCCATTGAGCTGGGTGACTACACCAAAGCCTTTCTCATTAATGGCTATACATCGATGGACCTGTTGAAAAAAATCTGGGAGGTTGAACTTATTAATGTAAGTTGCTCTCTTTCTGACACATTAACTGGTCAACTTTTGTTGTGAAGTGGATATTATTGCAGATGGATAATTCTTTTTCTTTCTTTGTAACTATCTGGACAGCTAATAAGGTTTTGCAGATAAAGGGGTGTGTGTGTGTGTGTGTGTGTGTGTGTGTGTGTGTGTGTGGTGTTAGCTCTGAGGTCATTGCTTTTGACATTTTAAAATGGTGAACTGAGACATAAGGAGAGGACCCTCGGGGCTTTTTGCATTACCTAAGAAAACCTTCCAAGAAGTTCTGGATTTTCCATTTCAGGAAATCTTGTCAGTTTAGGACATGGATGTGACAGCAAAATAAGCTCCCAGGCTGATCTTTGCCCCTGTTCACTATTAAAAGCCAGAATTATCACTTTTTCGTTTCTTAATCACATTCTTTTTAGCACTCTGTCATGGTTCTTTATCTTCATTCCTTAATTAGAATTCAAACCCCATGCTTAAAGGGATTGCTTCTGCTCTTGCTAAACAGGTTGCTGTAATCATCAAAATGTTATCTCCTGGAGTTGGCGTCCAATCGTATGTTGTCTCTGTTTTATTCATACACTTGGCATAAATTTTCTATAAGCGCTGGCCAACATATGTTGCCATATATTCAAGCCCAAAGAGATCAACTCAATCTTTGTAAGGGATTCTGAGTCTTCCTCACTTCCTTTTTACCCCGGTTTCTTCTCTAAATACAAATAAGTGAAGGAATGAAATACAAAGGTAACATAAAATGATTTTGTGCATTCGTGCTATGTTTGGGCATGGTAAATGTTTCTTTTAAAAAATACAGTGATAAATCTCTTTTTTAGAGGGTTGCTTAGCTTTATAGCCTAATGATTAGGGGAGGGGAGGCATTTGCAAAGTAAAATAAAGCCAACAATTATTACTGATTCTTCTTAACTCTCTTCTGAGAGAGCTTTTTATGTTGCTTTCTGTCCCAGAGTCTAGTTTCAACATATCACATGCCATTAATTATCTTAATGAACATTATCACCGATTAGCTAATTATCTTTTGCTTTTTTTAATGTAGCTTTAAAAATAATATCTTTCCTAGAACATCTTACACAAATTGTTCACAAGTCTAAAAATCACATGAAGTTAATAGAATCTTGGCTTCTCACTTGCCATTAGTAACTCTTAACTTTTTACTTTTTATCCCATCACGAAAAGCTGTCATTACCAGAAAAAAAGCCACTTGCTGAAGCTCTGATTAGCATTGTTCTTAGTTTGTGTAGCAAAGGAACAAATTGAAACTGCCTCGGGTTTTGGTTGCAATGGGCAAAGACTTCATTCAGTTCTCTATGAGATTTGTCATGGCTCCTCTTAGGTGCTTGTGAACAAAGTGACTTTACATAGATCAGCCAAATCAGTTTCCAAAATGAAATGTTGCTGCCTGGGCCTAGAGACTAATCATAACCACCTTTGAATTCACACAGAAAAAAAAAAAGATATGCCTTTGTGCCTATGCTGCTCCTTTAGTTTCCCTTTTAGCGACACCAGCTACATTACATTTCGACTTAAGATCCAGAGAGAAATTCAAGTTAGAAGTGTTGCTTCAGAGTTTGAAAGCATAGTGGCTATGTTCAAATTCCTCTGGCTTGTGTGTCTACCATCAACCCAGGATATTTTCTTTAAAGTAAACTCATTTAAATTTCTGTGACACCTATATGGGAAGGTCACACTCTACAAGGGAAGACTCTCCAAGTCATTTAATTGGATAGACATGCTCATTGTGGAGAAAAAAGCCAAATGAGCCTTTAAACAGAGAATTAGAAAACAAAACTTCATGGCTCCTAGAGCTGGGCTTTTCATTTGGGGAGCTTGGGGTCATTGGGTTTTTAATGTGAGAAGGGTAACGTGTGCCTTTTGGCTTACAAAGCTTTTTGAGTAATCTGAAATTCAAACCCCTTTCATCAACAAAGAGAAGACAAAGTCCAGACCTTTGTTCATCTGAACTGACAAAGAGAGGTCTGAGTTGATCCCTTGTATAGCTTATGGCTCAATTAATACAGTATTGAGTACCCATACATTGATTCCTGACTGATACAGGGAATGACCACAATTCTGATTAAAGTGAAGGCCTTTAGGGAACTCCTATCATGGGTTGATGTAGAGTGACTGATTGTCATCCTTGATCACCATAGAGACTGGTTCCCAGCATAGAGCACCATAGCCAGTTGATGGTTTCCCTCCTGGATCATTGTGGAGTGGAAGATTGCCATCCTGAATCACTGGAATGAGTAGCTGATTTGAAGGGAGCCAGACTGCTCCAGTGACTATTTCTCCTTGTATAGCGAAGACAGAAAGGCAAACTCCAGATGTCAGAGGTGCAGAGGTGGACTGGTGGAGGGAAGAGAATAGAGGACAAGCAGACTGGCTGTTGGTATGACAACAACATAAGCATCATGGTGTGGTACTGATGAAAATGTAAATGGTAATGTGCTTGCTATTGTTTTCAGAAGTATAATATGCTTGTGTAACCTATTTCTAGGATGATATGAAACTGTCCACATTTTTTTACTTGAATATACAAATGTGTTATTGGAAGCTATAAGCTTTGGAAAGCCCCTGAAAACCTTTTCTTTGTAGTGTATATGATGTTTTGACAATCAAGGCTATTTGAATAAACAAACAAGGGGTTTTAGACACAGAGCTACCCAAAACGCTGGGAGGAAACAGAAGAACGGAAATCTTAATATTAACACAGAGAAACATGTAATGCAGGAAGCATTGCTCGTCTTATAGGTGCAGTCCTGTCTCAAATTAGAGCATGAAATATTGGCCAACAACCCCCTTAGCTCTGAGTCTGGACCTCACATTCAAACACTGGTGTTGACTGATGTGCTCCGATCTTGGCCACTGTGGGTAATAACATCACATTCCTACCTTTCTATTGACATTTTAGTGTTAAAATTCGAACATGTTAGAAGAGACTGGGGGCAAATTGGTCCCTCTGCAATGCTAGCTGCATGAACCTCTGCTTCGAGCTCCTGTCCCTCCAAAGACTTGTTAAGGGAATTAATGACTAGTTAGCAGTTCAAAGATCCACTAATTTTTTTTGCTCGAAGAGGTTTCTCAGGCTCAGCATATGGCACGAGCCAGTTTCAGTCATGTTTCTAACTACTACCAACCTCAACAGCTCTGCATGGGAGAAATTTTAGATAGAAGGGGTTATATTTTTCTCCATGAGACGTGTATAGGCTAATTATGAAAATAAAAGTAATAAGCTAAGGCCCATGTAAACAACTTGATATTCACTTTCTGGACAATAAAAAGATATTAAAATTGTAAAGAACAATGTTAATTTATTTTATATCTGTGCATCTACTAAAGGGACTTGGGTACATCCAAATATCTCTAAACACTGTTCAATTCATTAACTCATGAATCTCATTGTAGAACCTGCAATTAATTTCTTCCCATTGACTTTACCATTATTTACCAAGGAAATCATTCTAGCCTAGGCTTAGTGCTCCCTGCAATGCTAATAATGACAAAGGTTCCTATTGAAAGAAGTTCAGATTTTGGTGCATTCTTAAATCTCTGCTCATAATACAGAATTGTTTCTAAGAATCTAATACAGTGTTTGGTTTTAATACCTCTGAGTAGGAGTTAATAAAGTAGCTAAGGCAGCAATACCCATATGCATCCTGTGAAAGCTGCTTCTCATCTCCAATGCATAGCATTTGAAAACTTTTGCAGTGATAAATGGATTAGTTTGTCATTTTCTTCTTGCCTGACTATTTCTGAAACTGAGCTTGTATTCATGCAGGACTCTCAGATTGGCTTGCCAGGCAGGTTTCCTCACCGTTGATGATTTCATTCCTACCTTTCAGGGGAAATTCCACAATGATCTAACCCCAAACTGGTGTAGTAGGAAAGTTGTCAAAGGAAACTTGTGAATGTTGCACCCATTGTTTGGTAAAATGACTTGATCAACTTAAATGCTGCTGTATAAAGCTCCTTGTTTGAAATTATTAAAAGTGTAAAGATAGTGACACTGAGTTATTGGTCCCATACCCAGGAAGCCAGCCCTACTATCCATTCCATTGTGTGGATCCTCGTTTCTATCTGGCATCAAGTTCCGTCTATCTAAAAGACTTCCTGCAACATTAAATACCGTGTGGCTGCTAGTGGTTAAGTTCTGTCAGCTAATGTGCATCTACAACAAACTGTATTTTGCCTTCATTTCTGAAAGATACTTTCCCAGGGTAGCTACATTAAAGATGTCAGGACTTTCTGCATTGTTTCTATGTGGTTATGACTGTGGTTATAAATTACTGAGGTAATTTATTACTATTTCTTGTGTACTAAGTTTTTTTAGCTTCTTAGATATGAGGCTTATAGTTTTAATGAACCTCACAATTTTTTTTGGTCATTATTTCTTGAAATAGTTTTCAGGCTTTTTTCCCCCTAACCCTTTGACTTATTTGGATAGTTTCTATTGCTGTGTCTTTGAGTTCACTTATCTCTCTTTCTTACAACTAACTTCTCTTATTTTCCATTGTATTTTCATCACTAAATCTCTGGGATTCAGACATAAGTCCTTCCCCACTTTTGCATCTCTGTCTAACATTCAATCTTTCTTCTGAGCTTGTTGAACATGTGGGATACAATTATAATAACTCCTTTTATGTCCTTACAACTTTAACATCTGCCCCAGCTGGGGTTTGATGGTGGTTTGTTGATTTTCTCCTTGTTGTTCTTCATTTGCTGGTAATATTATTCGCACATGGACAGTATGCATTTCTCCATGTTTTGAGATGGATAATTTTGTATTCCCACCAGTATGTTTCAGAATTGTCCTGGAACAGAAAGAAGTCCCTTGATCTTGTGATGATTTTGTATCAATATGTTTCAGAGTTGTTCTAGAACAGAAGGGAAATTCCTTAGCCTTGTGTTTAAGGTTGATTGGGCAACACTGGAATACTGTTTGGCCTGTTGCTAGTACCTCCCACTATTGGGCAGAAGTGCTG